GAGAGAGAGAGAGAGCTCGCTACGAGGTAAGAGAGGTGTGTCTCCTCATACAACAGGTCGGGATGGCGTCGCGTCGCGCTACGTCGGTGTCAGCGGCGGCAACGGCGAGGGCGTCTACGCGTGCCTTCACGAAATCTTGTTCCGCCACCACGAGAACTTCATCTTCGGGCTGAGATACTGGAAGCTGATGACCGAGTGCGGGATCAGCGCGAGGATCGGTAGGAAGCTGCCGCAGCTGCGGCTCTTCGGCTCGTCGTCGCACTCGGCCGTTGTCGCCGCCGTCTTGCTGGTGGTGACGGTGGTGGTGGTGGTGGTGGTCGTCGTCGTCGCCGCGGGCGTCGAGTACGGATACGGTGTCGACAACGGATTGCACGTGATGTGGACGTTCTCGCGGTGCCACTTGCTCTCGCTCTTCGCCGCGACGTCGGCGTCCTTCGCCGCGACGTCGGCATCCTTCGCTGCGACGTCGGCGTCCTTCTCCGCAAGACTCCGCCTCTTTTGCTTCTTCTCGTAGCGTATGACGCCGTTCTTCTCGAGAACGCCGCCGCCGCCGCCGCCGCCGCCGATGTCGGCCTCATTCATCAGAGACGGATACTTGAGGGAGGTCTTGCGGTACACCTTGGACCGCGGTGCCTTCGCCGTTGTCACTGCCAGTTGCGGTGACGATGCCGAACGAACCGCGTCCGCATTGCTTTCGCTTTTCACGTCTGCCGCTTTGGATACGTCGCAGCCCTGACGAGGCGTTAACTGCACGGGGGAGGAGAGAGGAGAGGAGGGATGCTTTCTGTCTCCGCTCCTCGGGATCGTCGTTGCGACAGCGTTGCATGAACGATCCCGCGGCAGCGAGGGACAGAAGGGAACGGGGGTGGTGGAGTAGCGCGCTTCATCGGTCCCGGCGGGCGGGACGGATGAAGCGTCCTTGAACCCTCAGCTCGGAAAACGCGAGAAAAAGGCGCAAGTCAGATCGTAATTCGGGAAGCGGCAATATTGCACGCCGGTGCGCAGCCAATCGCCCGAACGATTCAGATAATCGGATCGCTTCTCGAGCTCGAGCGGACAGTTCGCCGCCGCGGACTGCTGATTGGCGAAGATCGTTACGACAAACTTGTCCGGCTTGAAGGTGTTCAGCACGCGACGGATTATCTCATCGTACGATGTCTCGGCGACGTTGCACTCGAACGAGACGTACGAGAACTCCGGCTCCGGCGTGATGTGGATCGTCATATAGCTGCCCTAAGGAAGCGAGAAAACAACGTTGTGTCTTCGTTAATTAACGATATCGTAATTAAAATCTCAGTTTCTCAACGTGTTATTTTACGATTAGATTGAAGTTAAAAGCAAAGAATGATAAATTCTTATTCTTAAACTGTACGTTGCAATTTTTAGTAATTGGAAATCGAGTGCAATTAATTGCCTGCGAAGAGATTGTAGCATTTTGCAGTATTTTACTTTATTTCGCGGAAAAAAGATAAGATTCATGCAACTTTCCGCTCCGATATCGTAATGCAGATCTCATTTTCATTTCATCTTTTATAACAATTTTTTTAATTAAGAATATTCTTTGTCATTTTTAGTCCGAAAATTTGGAAAAAATATTGCTATCGAAAATTGTGAAAAGCTCGACTTACATTCTTGGACACGCCGTTCATCGAGTATCCGCACGGTTGGAACAGGAAGTCATCTATGATCATGTTGGGTATCAGCTTGTCGATCCCCGACTTCTCCGTCGCCTTGTCGGCGGTCGTGCACACGTCCCGGGTGAAGATTGACATCACGTCCGGGTCCAGCTGGGTCATGAGTATCTCCAGAGTCTGATCTGGCTCCGGCGGATCCTGCAACGGCTTGTCGCGGATCAGAGTGTACAGATACCAACAGTCTGTCTCGGGTGAACCCATGCAGAACGCCTCGCCATCTGAAATGAGAAAATATCCGTCATGGAATCCTTCGAAAGATCATCGACTTCGGGTTTTCTTTCAAATAAACTTCTTTCAAGTTTAATCTCGACAATCAATAACATGAAAATCAAACTAATGATAAAAGTACGAAAAAGAATTTTCAAGAATTCCTTGGAAAAGAAATTGCGATAATTACCGGGGAAGAGAGAATCCAGCAGAGCGACTTCCTCCTCGAAAGTCTGGTGCGGCGAGATCTGGAGCTCCGGTTTCTTGTAGTTCTTTCGAGAATAAAAAACGTTCTGGAAAACAAGCGCGGAAAAGTGCGATCAATGCAGACGAAATTAAGGCAGAATCTATGAAAACAAAAAGTTTGAATTATATTTTGCTTAGAGATAGATGCTCGTAGACGGAATAAGTTTTGGATTCGTTATTTAAAATTATACTGAGGATGTGGACTGATAAGCCGAAATGTTTGTTTCTTTGAATACACAGTCATTATATTAACACGTGTACGTTACATAGCTCGGTTGCCTCATCGTTTGCCCTCTAATTTAAATTTCTCGTGTAATCATCAGTTTATTTCTGTAGAATATTGACAATTTGTTCGGCGCCTATTATTTTGCAAATATATTTAAGATAATTGATTTTGATTTTCCAGATTTCTTTTTAAATTTACTTGACATAAGAAGATTACAAAAGAATTTCAGTTATACTCGATATCCTCCGTTGCCGCAACTCCGTTACCGCAGTTTCTGCTCGGAAACGAGACGGAAAAGTTGCGATTCTGCCTGCAATTTACATACTCAAACGGGAAAAACCCGATACAAAATTTCATGAAGCTCAAAGTAAGTTTTTATTCGACGGAAAGCGCGCTCGTCCGCTTCGCTCAAAATAAAAAAAAAAGAAATATTCATCGCGAAGAAACGATAACGCTAGATGTTGACAAGAGCAGAAATGACATTTCGGGCAGAGAGAGGGCACAGGTATATCGCAAGAGATAGGTGAGAGATCAATAAACCAGGAGGCGGCAGAGAGAGAGACGCGTCTCGCGCGCGGCGGAGAGACATGTATAGTCACGTTTTCTTATCGGCGCCACACTAGGTCAAGTTATATAGCTAACAAGCATTCCCCCGAAACCGTACGAGAGGAGGAAAGAGTGGAAGCTGATCCTCTCGCATGCGGATGTCTGCGTGCTCAGTGTCGAATTTGCCGGCGAATTTTTTAGAGAAACGCACTTAATTGTAAGACGAGATTTTAATGGCCGGCAAGTTCCGAAAACTTTTCTTTTAACAGGAAATATCAATCTTCGAAGAACGGAAAGCCGACCTTTTGACGTATTTTTCTTTGAAGAATATCACAAAAATAACATTTCTAAATTTGAAAATAAAAATTGAAGATTAATAATGATGAAAATCAAATCTTATAGAAAGGAGCTAATGAGATGTCTAAATTTGTTTAATTATTTATCTAGAAAAACAACTTTTTTGCATTAAAAGTTTTTAATAATTTATAATCTTTTGTGAAAAGAATATTTTATTTCGCATTTTTCATGTAATGCCACGTATAAATAATAATTTTATTTATTCATACTAAATAATATCAGTTTTATAAACATTTTTATTATTAGATCGAATGCGGGAAACCAATTTTTCGGCTCAATATCGGTCTCATACTTTTCTTTATGTCATCTCTCATTAAATACTCCTTAAAATTCGAATTAAAAAAACTGTAAAAGTTATGAAAAAAGTCGGCCATCCATTGAAAATTAACAAAAGTCATCTAATTATATTATATTAATTGCGAGAAAAGCGTAAAAACGATTGTTCAAGAATTCGCGCCCCGTTTTCCTTGTAACATTGCGGCGCATTAAATGCATGAAATGATTTCTGCTTTTTCCTCGTATTATCATGTTCCCGTAGGCTACATTTGTCACTGTGCATACAGCCGCTATCAGTTATTCGCGCGGCATCCTTTACCTCAACATCGTCGAAGCCAGTGTACTCCGCGACGAGCTCCAAAAGTGACTCCAAACACTGCAGGGGTGTGGTAGTGCCGCAAGTCTTCAGTATGAGTCTGCGCTTGGACACGAACATGCTGCTCTCGCTGCGATAAATAATTGCATGATTAGCCGTTTTCAACCAGAGTGAGCGTATATTTTGTGACATTCCGCGTGATGAATTAAGTCGCGCTATTTCACGCGATACTTCAGTTCATTCTTGTGTTTCAGGCGTAAAATGATTTAATAATTTCACACTCTTGTAACAAAGTAAAACAATCTGTAAAAGTATATTTTCAGAAATGGTTTAAGTGGAAAAAAGACTCGTGTAAAAATAAAACTCCATCTTTGTCACTTAGCAGACTCTGCCCGAGCTTATATTTATACTGGAAGACTATTCGCAAAACTTGTATATAATTATTTTTTATTTGCTTTCTATTAAATTTAATTAAATTATTAAACTGCACAAAACGCGTGAAAGCCAAGCGGATTCGCAGTTATCAGCTTTGTCGTATTTATCAGAAATTGCTATCAAATTAACGAAATATCAAAGTTCGAGATGTTAATGTTCCAGATTTACAAATTTCAAGTTACAAATTAGAAACTAATTAGTTTTCATTTAACACAAATCTAATGCAAGAATGAGAAAAATATGGTTATTACGTTCTAAAAATACACGTTCAAAGACATTTACATAAAGTTAACACATAAAACCACAGTGATTTACGATACTTAATCGTCAAACGGAGATAACAACCGCTGCATTACGGATTAGACGAGCGGCGAGTCTCTCTTTTTTTTCACAAATCCATATCTCGTCGTTCTTCCTCCTCTTCGTTTTTTTTGTTCGTTACTCCGTCGTTCCACTAATTGCAACTATTACGTTGTCCGGGGCAAACTGCTTTCCGAATTACTCCGTGAAGGCCGGCGCGAAGAATGAAGTTTATTAAAAGATATTTACTTGGCTTTCATTGCTAGCGATTATTTCTGGACCGTGTGTTTCACTATTAGAGCATACACGCGATGAACACGTTGACGACATGGTATTTATGCATTTCCTGACACTCGAGAATACACGCCGGCACGTGGATCCGTTGCCTTCTATCCTTCGCTGTTGCGTCAACTTGCGTATCGCTCTTATGCGGACACGTCGTCACCCGATAATTCATTCACTCGGAGATAATTGCGTGCTTTTTAATTATACTAACGACTCGAGAAACATTAAAAGCGCTCGCCTGCATCCGATAATGCGTTCACGGAATTATGCCCGTTTAATCGACTCGAGCGATACAAAAGAAGTGTTCCATTTTTCATTGTCGCGTTAGCCATTCAACAGTTAATTCATTTTTACCGGCTAAATTTACAGAATCTTTATTTTACATTTTCTTTATGTCTTTCAGCAAACATTTTCGGCATTCGCTAAACAGCAATTAATTCCGGCGAGTGAAAGCCGGAAAATGTTGTAAAAAAAAAAAATAATTTAAAAATAGAACGTGGGTTATCGGCGGTAAACGTTGACCCTAAGATTCTCCGAGAAGACAACGAGACCGATAATGCGAACGTAGGCTTCTTATATGCATGTTTAAAAATGTACATACGATGTAAATGTCCATGTTGAGTATCGATAACGCACCGACCTCAGCCACATTGTATTACATTGGACATTGTATTACATTGGAAAAAAGAACTTTTCCGATAAAAGATTCTACGGAAGAAGCGAAGTTCCCGACTTCTGTCTCTAGCGATCACGTGCGCCGATGATGAACCGTATCGTTTAAATTTATCTTTTAACATAAGTGCATCCATAAAATGCAACGCTGCAGAAATTTTTGAGTGTAACATTAGCAGTGCTAATAATAGATAGTAATAGTAATAATTGTATTAAAAAAAGCGGAATAGTGACATGAATAAAAATGATATCGAACTATTTCGTCAGAAGCGGATGCACAAAAGTGTTTTAAATGAAATAGTGAAGCAATCCATGTTTACTTAAATTACAACAGAAATTCTACATATTTCTACATTCTAGATAAGGTTTACTTCAGGCTTACTGATTTTATCCTAAAAAACATATTGACATTATTGAAATATGTCAATCGTTTAAACGTTCAAACCGTTCCGGCTTTCATTCGGAATTACGAAAAAAAAAAAATGATTGATGACAGTTTGAAACAGATAAAGACACAGGAGTTTATTATCGACGTAAATCACTTCTAAATTGTAGTTTCAATCTTAACATTCGGTAAATTCATATACCACAAATCGTAAATAGATTTATTTAACAAGCGGTTTTCTTGCGTAAATTTGAGAAATAAGACGAAAAGAATGATGAATTCTGGCGAATGCTAAGACTATGTGATATAAACTCTGATCTCTTGGCTTTATTGCTTGCGAGATATCAATCTTTGGTCCACACAAAAAGAAGAGAAAATCGAAGGGCATTTTTCCTCGACAAAGGAAACACGGAATACTTTTCAGCAAGAAACACAAGTCGAGAACAAATTCCTAGCCCGATTTTTTGGTTACGATTGCTTGCGGCAATTTTGAAAGCCGTGCATGGTTTTCAATACATTGAACCTGTGAAAAATCGCCCTGAAAACCGATTTTCGTCGGAACATTTGTTCCGAGCTAGAAAAGCATACAAAAAACAGTAGGCAATTTCCGAAACAGTGCCGAGAATGTTCCAGGATGTTTTAGGTAGATCAAAATTACAAAAAAGAATATCCTTGACTATTGACGTTTTGGTTGATGCGGATTCTGTGTGAAACCCTAGAACCGTGTGACCCTCGTGTGACCCTCAGTGACAAATATCCATTGTCAGATGAATAGGCAGCCTAACGATTGACCATTTTGTCTACATATCCGTTTAAATTGACATTTCCGGAAAATATAGCTGTTTTATTTGGAAAAGTTTAGCTATAGAAAAGGAACTGTAGCGATTGTGTCGAAAAGCAATCGTTTGAGCCGAAGAAAATGTGCGAAAAGAAAAACATCTGGTGGATACTCTGTACGAAAAACTTTCTCCACTTCGAAGAAAGTTCTTGTTCGACTTCCTTTGGACTTATCATTCTTCAAGTTGACGCACGGTCTACTCACAACTTCGATTCCGTTCACAAGTCAATGTGCGATAAGACAGGCGCCTCTAATATTGATAAAATAATAATACACTGCCATTGAAAGAAGTCCGAAATATAGATTGAATCGTTCGTGATTCACTAAAAGAATTCGAGGAATTTGTATAACTCCGATGCTTATCGGCCTCCACGTATTGTTATTTCGATTCTAAATCAGAGGGTTTTTAATATCAATATCTCTATTCTTGTGTAATCTTATTTTATCTCTTGTTTAACCTTGTTTTAGCTCCTTTATATATTTTTTTTCTTTTTCTTCGCGTTTTATTATATTATTTTACAAAATTTGTTCTTACAAAGAAGAGTATTCCCGAAACAAAATAAGCTCACTATCAATTTTGTTTCAGGGCGAAGAGGAAACCAAGTCGCAGATTCTGATTGTTATCAAAACAAATAAAGAGGATAAAGTGCAATACATTACGTTCCTAAAGGAAGAAGCATCGTCCAAATTAGGAAAACGCGGAAGAGAGAACGAGGAGCGGAACGGAGTCGCGTTTAAGCGGATGCTGCGATTCGAGAAGGACGACGAGGGTGAAACCGCGCGAAAGTGTCACCTTGACCATATTTATTTATAGGCGGCGGCGGTGGCGGCGGCACTGGGTCGACCCGTGCACCCTCGAATACTCTGGAACCGGGGCACGTCGCATCCCGTTTCCGTCGTGTCACGTCGCGGCCCCGGGCGACCGCGGACGGTGCACCTCTTCTTCCCCATCAAAACAATTCGATATATCGATTAACCGGAGAGACACGGGGCGCACACGGGTGAGTGCCACTCTCTCTCTCTCTCTCTCTCTCTCTTTCCCTCCTCGGAACGCCCCTCGAGAGAGCGCCAACCCGCTCCCGGCACGCCTCGCGCGTCACGAAAAATTGCGCCGTTGCCTCGCACCCCCTGAGCACCCCCGTTCAACCCCTCGTCCACCATCTGATCTGACAATTAAGTCCGCGTTAGACCGCTGGAAATTTCACGCATCCTTAGTCCACGCTAGGGGCGATTTTCGGAGGAGCAAATTATAAACGCATCGCTTGCATTAGAGTTCTCTTGTTTCTGTACATTATTGTGCAATCTATATTGCGAAATTGGAATAGAAATAAAGTAAGCAAATGTGTTTACCAAAGTCGACATGAATCACGATGATAGTCGACGAAGTGGTATAAAAAAATGTTTAATTAATTTATTTTTAGATAGATTTATGATAACTTATGTGCTTTATAATGTTAAAATAGAAATGAAAATCTGAAACATTATTTTGACCGAAGAAGCGGTATAAATAAATGCCTTTGTTAATTTCTATGCAAATTGATAATGCAAACATTATAATATTAAATCAGAATATAAGTAAAATAATTTTCAAAGCAAGTAAACGCAATTTTGCGAATTTTTAAGCGAAGCAGAATTGCAGCTGAAACAATTCAGAGTTGAAAACTCGTATATTATTTTCCTGTCTAATCTCGCAGTGCAGGAAAACGCGAGAGAACGTGCGGTTAATCTTATATAATCTACGTTTTCCAATACTTTTTGTACCAATAGAAGCAATGTGCTTCTACGTAATTGGAATGAATATGATTTCGTTTCCACGAACGTAATCGTTTGTAATAGATAACGTGTTACTCGAATGGTCCGTGTATGATAACATAAATATTGAGCAGCGACATTGAAGATTTGTCAACATATTTTAATCAGTGGCTCTGGATAATCGGTGTATCACGTAGATAGAGAAGGATGAAAATCTGATAAGGTTTAATCGAGATTAACGAATAATAATAATAATCGAGATTAGAGAATATTGTCCGTCCGCTTCGAGTTTCGAAGAATATTTTGAAGACTCTTATACCTAGCTGCAATTGAATATATTTAACGGCTTTCAATACCTATCTGGGGAAATTCCTTTCGGTCGAACAGTTGTATCTCTCGGTTTATCACTTGTGAGCAAATTCTTATTAACTTCGGCTCGTAAATCACTCACCTGAGAACGTAGGCTTCCACTTGATCATTCCGACAAAAGCTAATGATCTCGCAACGGACTATCTTCAGCAGCGACTCCCATTGTTGCCTGCAAAACACAGTTGTTTGTCTAATTAATGCAAAATCTTCGTACGTTTTTAAACAATTTTTGTATTTATTTTTTTCGTGATATTACTTTTCGAAAATAGAATATGCAATTTTCTTCCTCTCTTTCAATACATCGAAAAGTTTTAGATATATTTTGCAAACCCAATTAATCTCGTAATAACAATTTGTGATACTGAAATAATTGAAGAAAAAGGCAAAATTGATCTTTTTAAAAACAATTTATGAAGCTCAACAAATGACACACATTTTGTTGAATAATTATATATAATTAAGAAAAATTGTAAGAATCTATTAAAATAATCGAAAGATTTATAAATAATTCTAATCGTATAAACTTGATTTTTATACTTTATACTCATAACGCACTTACTTTTTGACATACTTTTGACATACTGTTTGACATATTTTTTGACATCAAATTAAATGTCTTATCTGTTTATATCAAACAAAATGTCATACCTATTTGTGAGATATCATTGTTATCTTAATCTCTGAAAAATAAATATAACAGAAATGATTCATTTCTGTTATATTTATACATTTTATAGATTATTGCACATCTTTGATTTCAAAGTTCTTTTAAATATACACGCTTTACTTCTATAAATACAAAAATATTACACAACTAATTTTATAAAACAATAGTGCGGAGAAAATTCTAGGAAAAACTTCATTTTTCGAACGAATTAACTGTTTAATTGATCATATTAGAAGCTCAGATCTCATGGTTCAAAGAGCTCGATCAAGGTTTGCGAAGTTTGGCGATCGATAATTTTGTGAAACTTCGCGGACGATCGTCGCAGAATTTTGGCGTGCACGCGCATCGGCCTTCTCTCGCGGACCTGCTAAATTTATTGCCGCCGCGCGATATGCAAAAATAAACAGTCGTGGCATCGTCGGTCCTAGACGCACCTAGGAGGTTCAACGACACCCTGACGTTGCGTGTAAACAAGTGCAGCATCCCCGGCGCTTTCGCCGCTATCAATCCGCGGTTACGTAATTGCGTCATAATCGCAACCACATGCGGCTGCAAATTGATTAAGCCTTATCTCGTCTTATTTAGCATCGCGTTTTCGTTTGCTTGACCAGAGAAGAAATCCGAAAAAAAGGAATAAAAGAAGTCGAACAGATCTCGAAAATCTCTATTACTGTCGCGAGTAAGATCGAAAATTGCTGCACGATTGCAGTTGCGTTACTTTTATTATTCGAACAGAATCAAATGAAGGGAATATAACGCGTTTCAAAGGTCATGAAAAATTCTTGGGATTGTCTCAAGCAAGATTGAATAATTGTTGAATGAAAAAATTGAAATTCATTGACGCATTAATAATCGATCGCTGATCGCAAAGACGTCTATCAGAATTTCGAAAAATTTTCATTCGATTTTTATTCTGTGAATGTTCTTTTCTTAATATAAATGTGTGCACATGTATATAAATAGGCGTTTGAATTCCAGACTAACACATTGTAATCTTGCGTAGTTTGGAGCAAATGCAATATTCGAAAAAATACAACGTGAGGCACGCAGCTATTTTAAAATTTTGATATCTCAACAACCTTGTTGCACACCTGAGTTATAAGTTAAATCTTCTTCTTGTCTACACTTCCGTTCTGCAACTTTCGATAAGCAAGATTCAATTTTATGGCGCGTAAAATATTGTATTCTCATTTCGCAACGTTCTGATATTAAAAAATGATTTCAACATCAAGGTATTGTTTTCCGATTCCTCGACTGACTTTGTAAACGCGAATTGTTCACCGTTTAATATTGAAAGTAATCGATTTTCGAATATATAGGTAACTCTATCATTTGATGTGAAACAGACATTTCGCGTATCACACTCTGTATTTCGCTAAATAAGTTTGCAAAGTTTTGAATTTCTATGTGAAAATTGACATATCTTTGACTTAAAACATTGCTTGCGTTCCCGGGAAAGTTGGATCTAACAAATATATGCCCTTTAAGCGTGAAGCGCGACGAATCCCCGCGACGCACACCTGACGAGCGCCTCGTAGGTGGTGCAGCGCGCGAAGTGGTGCGTTGGCTCGCTCGCTTTTTGGAAAATTGTCAAAAACGCGCGTGTACGCGGAATCGACCGGGAAACCGTTCGACGTGGATAGGTTCAGTCTGGGCTTGCGATGACTCCCAACGGTCGACGCCGGCGCGGCTCGTCCCCGTCATCATCGTCCGTCCTGGCCTGGCCGGCGTCGGACTGTCATCGGTTCTCGCGGTGAGGAGGTGAAGGAGGAGGAGAAGGAGGAAGCGGAGGAAGAGGAGGCAGAGCGAGATGCCGGCGGGCCGATCGTATAAACTTACCGCGGTATCTGTCGCAGATCGCCCTGGTGCTGCTTGAGGCCCTTAGTGCTGGTGAACCAGATCTCGAGGAGCTTCTCGACACCCTCGAAGAATTGCACGTTGTCGGCGCAGTCGTCCTTGGTGTCCGCCATCCTCTTCACGTCTTCGGCCGACTACTGCGGTCGTTTCGCGATCCAAAATTGCGAAGCAGCACGTAATTGTGCGTTTCGTCGCCTTTTTATCTCGCTGCCCTCGCGCGTGTTCGGCGATTGCTTCTGCCTCGCGTCAAATCGACTTCGTAAATGCACGGAGCACGTCTGTGGACACTATTCCCGGTGACGCGCGCTTGTAAACTGACTGACACACTGCCCACGCCAGAAGCACTGCTGATTGACTGATTGACGGACGAACGATCACCACCGCTGCCGCCGCCGACGCCGGTGCTGCCAGACACACACTGCGCCGCCGTCAGCCAACCGCCGCGTCTCTCTCGCTGCACGGTTCGAGTGCATCTGCAGCGTGGCGCCGCGTGCGGCACCCGGCGGAACTGCGCCTGCAATGACATAGGGAAACTTGGGTCATTTTACGCTGCCAACTTTAATCCGCGCCGTGTGTCTTAGTTAGTTTTCGTTTCTTATATTGAACAGTCATCTTTGACGTCACGATCGGCGTGCAGCGCGCGAAATTTGCTACGCACGTGGGTGTTACAAATGTGAAGTAGAGTTTTTATTTAAACATTTTATTATAAAGAAAATATTACAATGTGTTATGATAAATATTTAATTATGGAAATAACTTTGATACTTGGGTATTTATTATTTGCGCCTTTTTTTATTATTCTTTGCAGCATTCTTTCTATTGAAACGTCGCTTTAGTGGTTTTCTCTTCGGCATCTGCATCGGTTGCATCTTTATTAAGTCCTCATCCATCGGCTCAATTATTTGGCCAAGCCTAGTGGTTATTGCTGGCTGAATCATTCGTGAATGAGCATTTTCCGAAACGAAAGTTCTGCTGATAGGGGCTCTAATGCTCGCTTCGTAGTCTTTGACAGAATTAAACGGATGCGGTAGCTCGTTGACAAGGTGTTTTTTCAGCTTCTCGTTCTCCTGTTCGAAAATTATTACCTTGCCTTTATTCTCCTCCTTACGCGGCGCTTCCTTGGCAATATTCATTATAATCATCCTATTTTTCCTCCTATTCCTCTTTTTCTGTTTCTTTTTCTCCATATTCTCGTTCCACGAGGGTCCCACCCAGCTTCCCCATCCAGGCAACGGCTGATTTTGATCAGGCTCTTGCAATTTTTGGCTCTAGAATCATTTTGCATACATTTAGATTATTGAAATAAGTGTCAAAGATTGTATATTACAATATAATGTCATTTGATATCTGCATAATCTGTTACAAAAAAAGATGCATTTTTTTTTCAAAAAAACATGCAGCAACTCATTGATGCCATTATATGTATGCAAAAAATCATTGATTTGATTTAAAATATGGTTATTTATCTGTGCTACGTACCTCTTCTTTTTCTTTTATAAATTCCTCAACAACATCATCGTCCGCGAACGCCTCGCTCATTATTCTATGCGTTTCATCCTCCTGTTCGCTGTTCTCGTCCTCGCCCGTAACCATATCTGGCAATTGTGTTTTTATATATTTGGGTTTAACATTTAAATACTTATCTGGATCAATTTCCTTCACAGCCTCCTTGCTATTCGTTTCTTCTATCGGTTTCTGCTTTGTACTCGTTACAGTCTTTAAACTTGTCAGATTCTTGTTCTCTTGTGCACTTTCCTTGGAAGTAGTTTCTTCCAAAGGCTGATCGAGAATAGGTCTCCTCTTCGTATCTCTATCTCTAAATTCGAGTTCCGGTATATCTTCGTCTTCCTCCTCGCACTTTTCTTCGCGCTTTTTTATTTTGCTATTAGTTTTAAGCTTCTTCTGTATTTTCTGCAGCTTCTGATCGATTTTACACTTCAGTTTCTCTTCTAGGGAATCAAATATTTCGTCTATGTCTTGTACTTTGGACTTCTTATTGCACTGTTTTTCATCTGCGTTATTATGTTGTGATTCTTCCACGTGCGATTCAAATGTAATAACTGCAACGTCGCAAGAAGTTTCGCTTTCCGTATCATTTCCCTTTGCTTGCTTCTTCTTTTTCAATATCTTCTTCGATATCATTTCGTTTGACATTATGCGACATTTGCTATCTTTCGTTTTATCTTCCTTCTTACTTTCTTCAATTTGATTTATAGAATTAATTGAATTGTCTGCAAAAAGAAATGTATAAAAATAATTAGAGAATTGTTAATTAAAAGATTTACTTACTTAGAAAATTGTTAGAAAATTTGTAGCAAAATTTAATAACGTACTTTCTCTTTGGACAGAAGGGTTTTTTGATCCACAATCAACCTTTGCGACTTTTTTCTCTTGTTCCTGCTGATGTTTTTCATCCCAATACTTCCTGTAACTTTTTATGAAGGCCTCAACTTCAGACTCAGTCTTTATCTCTGAGTCCTTCTCATTGTCATTTGTAATTAAGTCGCTTGACATTATCTCATCTTCGTCTTCTTCGTCTTCATCCTCATCTTCATCATTTGGTGCCTTAATTTTCTGTGTCAAGTCTCTATTAATCGCAAGTTGCTCTGAAAGTACCTGTCGAGCCTGACAAAAAAAAAATTCATTATTGCATTCTTTTTTTAAAACAATTATTAAAATATTTCTATTAGTTAAAAATAACTTTTTTAAATAAAATTAATACTTTAAGTTAAAAAGGCACTCACTTCCTTATTATATTTCGCTCTGATTTGTTTATTCTTAGCCCACTGGCCTGTATTTCTATGTCGCAATGACATTCTTTCTTCCGCACGAACTTTGTCGATCTGTTCTAATTTCAACAGAGCCTCTTGCGGATTGCTTTTCTGTAGTTCCTCGAATTCCTTTAATTGCTGCTTGATTTTATACTTTCGCTTTTGCTGATGATAATTCTTACTCTTGATCTTGCGATCACGACGTGCCTTTGCCTCTCTATACGACTGAAATGTGCAATCAAATTAGAATCGATTTTTATTTACTTCTCTCTTGTGAGTAATAATAAAATAATTTCTCTTCATAACTATCGCAATTTTTTCGTACCTGTTGTGCTCTGAACCTGGCAATTTCCTTCCTCCTCAAGATCATCTCTTGCTTAGTCAGTTTGTATTTATTATCCTTTTCCTCTTCTGCAGCTGGAAGATTCTCTGATGATGGATCCTTCTGTAACTCTTGCATCAAAGTGGACATTGTCCTAAATCTCTTCAAAAATTCTGTAGTAGGAGATTCTTTCACCTCGGTCGGATGTCTTAATGGAAAGATCAACCGTGGTGCTGTCCTGTTCTTAGCGATTAAACCCTTCCACTTTGCTAAATCATTCTTAACATTTTCATAACCAACTGCCCTTTTTATCTGCAAAATATTCAAATTATACAATTATTTTCATGCTTTAATTACTATTTTGCACAATACATTGACAAAAATTTAGTCAAAGATAAAAGATTAAGAAGATAAAAAAATAAGATTATTAAAATTTAATTAAAGAGACAATATTGATTTAAACTTGATTTTCACTTATATATGAAAAAAAATTTAGCTTTTAGAAAGACAAATTAAAAAATATTTGTATTTATATATGAGTAAATTTTGTGAAACAGTTCAATAAAATAACTTACCCTTTCAGCAACTGGTTTCTCCAGTGGCTTAGAAAGAATTTTATTCTTCCGAAGCTTTTTAACAATCTCAGTTTGATATCCTTTACGTCCTAATGATTTTGCCAGGTCTTGTATGCGTACCACATCTTTGTCTGATACCCCACTTTTCACCAAGTGATATTCGGATACTTGTGTAGCCGGTTCACTTCTTTCTGCTTGTTTTATTCTATAAAGGACAAACAATGAAAGTTAAACATTGAACAGTCAGCTTGTTTAATAGTGATCTCTTTGTTATTTCTTACCTTCGTCCTTTATCGAGCTTTGCCACAGCCTCGATAAACTTTGAGTGATGTTTAGAGACATCCTCATCGTCGTTTAAATTCTGATCAATTTCTGTATCACTCATCTTAGCATTCACATGAATTCTACTATCTTCGGATGTTCCAGGTTAGAATATAGATTGTTAGCTTAAAGATTATAGTGCTAACTTAATTTCCTTTCTGCAAAGATAATTACACAATAAATAAAGAATAAACAGATCTATTGTTCAGTGATAGAAATTCATATTGTTCATACAAAGCGCATTCACTCTCATTTAAACGGTGACCACGTGAAATTATAAGCATGTACGTCGTAATAAAAATTCATACTGTATCCTGCTGTATCGCGTGGAACGCGATATCCAATAACAAAATTTGTTTTTATCAATATGGCGTTGGAAAGAATCATTTTCTATTGGATATCGATATCTCATACTTTAAATATTGCGCGCAATGTGATTCAACCATAAGAACTTATTGCCAAGAACGCAAAATTTTTTGTTCCTAGAAATCCACTTTCGCCATTGGATATCGACTTTGGCATGTTGCACCCATCTCAAAACTTTTCATTTTTTATGCTTGAATTCGCGCGTACTATTCGCCAGGTGTCTCCACGAATCGCGATGCGCCGCGATGAGTCGCGGAACGCCGCGCCACTTTTACAATCGTCGCAAAACAGTCGGCAAGCGAGAGTGAGAGCGGCGCGGTGAACAGCTGATTCCGTTTCCACAGTACGCCTCTCACGTAGGCGAGCACATGTCTACCGTGCGATAAATCACGCACGACATTCAGCCCTTTCTCTGTATCCTTTTGGAGGTAGGTGATAATCGAGCGACGAATTGAGTAACCGTTTGTGAAGGAACGACTCACCGGCAACAGAGCGCCCGTAATCCAACGGCTGCGTGCGATGAGCAACGGCCGGCGATAACCGGTGGCTGGATTTCATCCTCCTTGTCTTCACCGTCGCCGTTATCGTTATTGGTGGAAAATATGGCCGATCGCGATAGCGCGTCTGAAAGCGACTCGAGCTCGATCGACGGTGGGCCGATAATGATGCCACCGTCGCCGGTGACGCGCGAGCAGCTGCAGAAGCGCATTGAGTCTTTGCAGCAACACAATCGAGTGCTCAAGGTCGAGCTGGAGACATACAAGCTACGGGTGAAGGCACTGCAGGAAGAGAATCGCGGCCTACGTCAAGCGTCTGTCATCATAGTGAGTTCTGAAACTTTTTTTTTTTTATTTAATTTCTTTGTATCTATAGCATTTATGTCTTATCAGCAACAAGTCTACGAGACAAACTTACTTACTGAAATATCAGTTTGCTATTTTTACATTATCTTTCATGTTTGGAAGAAATTTATCAAACATAAATTTTCTGTGTTTGCAGCAAGCAAAAGCTGAGCAAGAAGAGGAGTTTATCAGCAACACTCTGCTGAAGAAAATTCAGGCCTTGAAGAAGGAGAAAGAGACCCTTGCGCACCACTATGAGCAGGAGGAGGAATGTCTTACCAACGATTTGTCACGGAAGCTGAATCAGCTGCGGCAGGAGAAGTGCAGACTTGAGCAGACACTTGAGCAAGAGCAGGAGTGCCTGGTGAACAAGCTGATGAGGAAAATCGAGAAGCTAGAAGCGGAAACACTGGCTAAGCAGAGCAACTTGGAGCAATTACGACGTGAGAAGGTTGAACTGGAGAACACATTAGAACAGGAGCAGGAAGCACTGGTGAACAAGCTATGGAAGCGAATGGACAAGCTGGAGGCGGAGAAGCGAATGTTGCAGATTAAGCTGGACCAGCCAGTCTCAGATCCGACCTCACCACGAGAGATAAACAACGGTGACACAGCCACAAACCTGAGCACGCACATCCAGACTCTGAGGAGCGAGGTTGCGCGATTAAAACACACATTGTTGATCTCGCAGCAAGAACGTAAGTATATTATTTATTCTGAAGAGTTTGCATCATTTTCTCACTCGAGTTAAATTTATGTTTCTTGATTGAAATCTATTTTTTTCTTAGCAGTAATGTTTAAGAGCTTTGTTCGTCGTAGTCTTCTAATTTTTAGCATTATATATAGTTTTAACTCAGCCTTAAAATCTCTGTTAAACTTCAAAATTAATTGAAGCTCTGAATTGATTGCCAGATACGGAAAAGATGAAGCGGTATGTTAACGAAGAGAAACAGATACGCGAGGAGAATCTGAGACTGCAGAGAAAGCTACAGCTGGAAGTAGAGCGTCGGGAGGCCTTGTGCAGACACCTCTCCGAATCTGAATCCAGGTTGGTATAGAAGTCTGCTGAACTTACAAGAATTTACTATTATATTCAATTGCTTGCACCATGATTTCTCTGAGTTGCGACATTTTTTCTCTTTCACGTCATAACTGAAATTGCGATCGAAAGTTATTTACTATTCCTAATCTCACAGACATGATTTTCGCAGCTTGGAGATGGAGGAAGAACGGCACTACAACGAAATTGTGATGTCCGGTGGCAATATAAGGACTCGCACGGTGTCCAGTCCTGTGCCCTACAATCCTTCGCCTAGTTCCTCAAGGCCATTGAGTCCAGGTGAGTTTTTTTTCTTCGTTTGACGTATGTACGGATAAAATTTTAGTATTATTGTATCTAGAATAGCATCAATCAATTTATATATCAACAAGATTAATCCATAAAATCACCCCTGTCGAGCTGCCCCCCTCCACCTTGCACAAATAAAAAAACCAATAGCGCAAAATTATAAGCTATTTATGAGCTTTCATATTC